ATTGGCTCACATTAGTTGTGCCATGGCCAAACGGTATTGTGACTGGATTATGTATACAATTAGTTTGTCTTTCTAGTATGCCTATTCTTTTGCAGTTTGTAAATTCCTGGTATTTTTCAATTTATATGTATTTTAGGGAGAAGCATTTAGATGTAGTTGTATTTTGCTACTAGGATTACTTCTGTTTGATGTAATTTTACCCCAAAAGGGACTTTGACTTCATTGATGTTTCTCTGATCTCAGACTGGTGGGGCTTTATACTCTTCTGGAACTAGATATGGTTGCCTGTTGTTAATCAGTGTGCAAGCCATTAGAGGTCTACAGTTTTGTGTGTAATTCTTGCTGCTTTTCTGTGCTGGTTCTTTAAGTTCACAAACTTAGTTCAGTTGTTTTCCAGCAATGGAATTAGTTTCATCTGTATTTATTCCATCCACATTGCCCACTGTGGGTTTTTTAGCAATGCTTAACATGTGTGTCAGCTTCTGTGTAATTCATTCTTGGTGATAAAAACACGTTTCCCATCACATGCTTTGGCATGACATTTTACAGACATATACTATCTGAAAGTGGTGCGGGGGGATGTTTGTCCTCTCCCCCTCCCCCCGCTTTCTGTCTCACTGAGGTAGGTGGTTGTAGAGATTTTGTTCTGAGTAGTGCAGTAGTGGCTGTTCTCTTCTTTCCATGTTTCATTAACTTCTCCTGTCAAGCATTTTAAATTATGGGTCCTTTATTTTTATACTTTTAATTTCAAACATTTTCCTATTTATTTTATATATGTGTGCATGCACGTGCACTGACACTTTGAAGGAATTTCTCATCATAATTTTAACAGCATTTTCTGAATGGTGTTCTTAGAGTTAGGCAGAAACTATTGTCAATCTGCAAAAACTCTCAGGACTTCAGCTTATTGCAGGTCAAAATGCCAAATGATGCATTGTATAATTCAGGGAGAGGCACTGACAATTTATTGTTTTTATTTTATGTACCTGCAGTTTTGCCATCAATATCAAAATGTAGTGAATGCATTTACCAGACAGTTTTTTTCCCACTCCAATTCACTACTCCAGTGAATCAGTTAACTTGTCTGATGTATGAGCATCTGAAAAATCATGTGATTGTTATTTTTCTTCTTCTACATTGAGCCATGCCCTGTATCTGATTTCCTTCATCCAAAGAGGTGTATTGGTCTTGCTTCTGATCATGTTGTAATGTTGTGACAATTCTGCTCCTATATACGACTGCTGTTTGATGCATGGCTGGTAGAAATATATCTTGAGTTTCCCAGGACATCCGTAGAATTAAAAATTGATATTTTTTCCACAAGGACACCATAAATCAGTGGAGTGATTCAGTAGGAAAAAGACAGTTGCAGTCAGTAATATCTTTTCCCCCTAGGGTTACTGAAAGTAAATTTTTTATGTAAATAGAAAGCAAAAATAAAAACAACCCACAATGGGGTTCAGCCTAAGACTGTGACCCTTGAATTGGGAACCTGACCTTCCGAAAGGCCTGCTCCCATCTCTGTCTTTTTCTCAACCCACCTTTTCTTTCTGTAAGGATGGCCTTGGGGAACATTTTACATATAATTTCTGTATATTGCAGTTTGCTCTACCATTTTGTAACTGTTCTGTTAGTATTGTTAGCATGGTGCAGAATACTGAGGTGGTAGATGTTTCTGCAGAGGACAAAAATGTTGATTTGTATCCATTTGTCACTTTGCTGAACTACTGAATATTACTCAAGTTTGTCATCAAAGCACCAAAAAGCTAATGTCACTCACCATTCAACTCAGATCCACTTTGAAAGTGAAAAACATTCTTATTTCTTCCTTCTTCAAGGGCAATGTCTAAATCTATTTGTGACCCCCATATATCAACTATTATGAAACTCAGAAACTCACACAAGATGACTTTTTCCTCCTCTGTTTGCATGTAGCTCTCTGGTGAAGGTTGGAGATTTCTCTCTTAGGTTTTTATAAATTGCCCAATCTTTGTGATATCTAGGTGCAAAACAGAAAACCTGCAAGAGAGATCCCCCCCCCCCATAAAGGGCCCCATCTATCACTTGGGTTTGCTACTTACTACAGAACTGCTTTTTTTTCTTCTCTCCAGTTCCATGTTTTACATCTAGAAACAACTCAGACCAAAAAAAAATTTGATAGACCAAGGAGCAAGGAACAGAATAATTGATGCTGTGGTCTAACAAAAACTCACTGTGCTATGCTTTGGAATACCAGTGCTGTGTGGGTTTGTCAGGCTCTGCTACTCATTTCTGACATTGACATCGTTTTATAGGGACAGGTGAGAAGGCTCATGTGGAGTGACTATGAGTTAGAGGAAATTCCCATGACTTTTCTCAGCCCGTTTGTCTGAGAGACTGGAAGAACAAAGTTATAACTAAACTCTACTTACTGACTAGACTCTAGGTGGCTCATATGTTGAGGGTGAAGAGGGTGATTTATTGACAGTTGTTTGCGTGAATGCACACTGCATTTTCCAGTATTGCCTAGCACTCCAACATTTGCATAAATGTTTTCAGAGGTTGCTTGTATGTCTGAGTGACATTTTAGGGAAAGTAATTAAACACATGCTGTAGAAATGTTGCTGATAACATTAATATGCAAAATATCTTTCTCACATTTATTTCAAATAGCAGTTTCCAAGTAGACATAGTGGCAAATTTTTCACATGCAAGTACCATAGCACTGTTCCAGTCTGTTCTGGCATCACCAATAGCTCTTATTTCTGTCCTCCAAAGTTTACTTTTCTGAATGGAGCAATTTACTAGGCTGGGTACCTGGAGCTCTTAAATGTTTGTCTGGCCACAGAAGAGCGTGTATGTGTAGATTTAACTTTATATTCCAACTTCCTTCTTATAAACCACTTTCCAGTTGCACACAGCTGTTTAGATGGGCCTTACCAGATCCTGTGCAGTGAAATGGAATGGACAGTCCCAAATTCTACAGCCTAACCAGGGAGAAGATTTGAAAGAGAGTAGTCAACAACATTGACGTAATGTAAAAAAGCTAATAAACATCTTTCAAGTCTGGCAGAATTAGCACTCTATGATGAGATTTTTTTGGGGACTCACAACTTCATTCTTTTTTGAGGGGAAGACTTTGAGTTGACTAATTGCAACCCCTAAGTAGTTTTGAGAACATTGGAAGATTTTCTCGGTGCATCAAAAGGACTCAACAAGGGGTGAAATCTTACTCATGCAGCATAAGTTTTTAATGTGAAAACCTGTCCATTAGTTTTGTGGGAAACTCTATTGTAACTGAACTGGCCATTGCCCCCCTGTAAATCCATTTCATTTACATTCTTCTTTGAACAACAAGCACTATAGGAAAGTATCTTGAATTCCCTTTTGAAAGCCAGCCACGTGTTGTAGCCTGCCCTACTGGCTGGACAAGTCCCATTGGATTGTCTCCACTTGGCACTGGTGCTAGAGATCTGCACAGCTCTCTTGGCAGGCTGATATACAGCTGTATTGGAACAGGATGATTAGAAGTGACAAGCTTGAGAGAGAACCAGCATCAATCTGCACTGCTCAGCTCTTGTGGGGGACACAGCCCAGTTCCTTGGAGATGGGATGGGCATCTAGGAATAAGATCATTCTTTAAACTCTAGTAACATTATCAGAATGGCAGATTCAGAACCAAACCTCTTTCCAAACCTCTTCAGAATCAATTGTTATTCCTCACACTTTGTGTGTTGTAAAATACTTCCAGAGAAACAGTGGCAGGATTTCAACACCAAGATCTGAAAGGAGAGAAAACAAAGGCATAGATTTGCCACTGCTTCTTCCCTCATTTCAGCTACTTATCAAATAGCAAGTGGGATGTGAGAAGCAAGATGTTCATATGAATGAGAGAGTATGATCCCTCCATTACAAGGCCTACTGCTGCAGCGAGTCTGACGTTCTTGTGGTTACTGTAAAATCAGATCTCTAATGCTTGTGATTACTGTGTGAGCTAACGTAGCCTGCAACACCAGAGATGCATGGAATGTGTCCCCAGCTTGCTTGTTTTAGTTGGTCATTTTTAAATCAGCGGCTGCTACACTTCAAGAAATCAAAGTATCCTGACCAGCCTAAAGTGGCTTGTTTTTCAATCTTGTGGCCAAGCCATCATTGCAAAGTCAGGGATGTGCGTTTACTGTCAGAAATATCTCTTATGAGCAGATTCTCTTGGTAAAAACTGGAGTTTAGTTCCCTTGGTACTACTTTTTCCAAATTACATTGTGTGTGTAAACAGGTAGTTTTTGATATTTCCTCCTGACCCTGTAGTGCACTTCAGTGGCCTTTGAATATATGCAGGACACCTAAACTTGCAGCTGTGAAGATATTCTTAATCAAAGAATGAAGTATATGGGGATATTACACTTCAGATGCCTGAAATCCAAACTGGACTTCCCACCAGAACTTCAAGTGGGTTTTTCATGCAACAGTATTTGATGAAAAACTGAAGCTAGTACAGACTGAAAACTGTTCAGACGTCTGTCCTGTTTTCTTGTTAGGTTAACATCTGCTTCAGAAAATAAAATATTTTTTTCCATCTGGACATGGTGAATTGCAAAACTGCAGTGCTATGTTTCCCTTCTACCACAACTGCCTGTGAGAGTGCATGAGGGAATCCAAATGCCTGCTATTGTCCCACCACTGCTGGCTATTAAGCTTCTTTGGAACTGCACACTAACCTTTTCTTTACAAACAACCCTCTCATACCTGTGCTGTCTGATCTGAAAGGATTGTGGTACCACAGTTGCAGAGGCAAGCACATCTGTCTTGCTTTGCTAGATTTTTCCTTCACTGTATTATCAATTCCTCCTCCTCCTTCCTTCACTTCATCTTTCCTTCCTTTTTTGCGAAGATATTTTGATGTGGAATTGCACCCTGGGAGGGAGAGCAGCTATTTAGTTGGCATAGCACTTGGTTGTTAATGGGCTCTGATTCTTATTTCCAAATTAGTCTACTTCACCTGGTCTCCCATCATTTTCCAGGATAACCTGCGTAAAAAGGATGATCGGATTGAAGAATTGGAAGAGGCGCTGAGAGAGAGTGTGCAGATAACTGCAGAGCGGGAAATGGTGCTAGCACAAGAGGAATCAGCCAGGACTAATGCTGAGAAACAGGTCTGCAATCTTATACAGTCACTGGTGTTGCTGTTGGGCACGTAAGAGGTACAGCCTGACAATAAAGTAGTAGTAATCATTCTTTGCCCTTGAATAGTACCTTGCCATCAGGAGATCCTAAAGCACTGTGCAGACATTAACTAATGGAGTCCATTTCTGTCCTTTCCTGAAACTAAATATGAGTGTGTGGTGTTCTGTGCTTTAAAAGAGAGGTTTGTGTGACATTTCTCTCTGACGTGTATACATCGAATATATATTCCTGTGTTAACATGTTCACACACACTGTACTATATATGCTGTATTATTATTAACTTGTATTACCTTATTACATAGGAACACTAGACATAGACACAAGACACCACTGTGCTAGGTGCTGTACAGACACAGAAGAAAAGGATGGTTCCTGTCATAAAGAGCTTACAATCTAAGTGTAGGACAAGGGACAATGAATGAGGAGTACAAAGGAACAATGATACATTAGTGGTCAGCATGATGGGCAATGGTCTCAGCACACCAGCATCTTAGCCATTGTCAAGTTTTTTTTGTAGGCAAAATGGAAAAGGAGTTGTAAGGAGGATTTTGAAGGAAGAGTATGTGTTAGTTTTGTAGATGATTATGGGGAGCTCCTCCAAATCACAAGGGGCAGCATGGGAGAAAACATGAAGGTGTTTGATTGAAAATATAACAAATGGATGATAGAGACTGCTGTCGTGGGCCGGAGTCGGGTGGGAGTCGACATCTTGGTATGAAAGATGATAGGTAGGGTGGGGATAGGCCATGAAGGGTCTTGAAAGAGAAGACAAGTCTCTTATATTTCATGCAGTTGAGAAGGGGGGAATCCATGGGAGGGATGCAAAGTGAAGGGTGACATGGTTGTGTACACGTCTTCAAGTCACCACAGCTTGATGAAATACATCGTAGAATATTCAAGGAGCTGACTGAGGAGATATCTGAGTCATTAGCAATTATCTTCGAAAAGTCATGGTAGATGGGAGAGATTCCAGAGGACTAGAAAGGGCAAATGTCCTTATTTCCCTTTTTATAGATTGGCAGTATAACACAGGAAATTACAGACCAGTCAGCTTAACTTCAGTACCCAGAAAGATAACGGAGCAAATAATTAAGCAATCAGTTTGCTAACACGTAGAAGATAATAAGCTGATAAGTAAGAGTCAGCATGGATTTGTCAAGAACAAATTGTGTCAAACCAACCTAATAGTTTTCTTTGACAGGGTAACAAGCCTTGAGGAGAGTGGTAAGCAGTAGATGTGGTATATCTTGAGTTTAGTAAGGCTTTTGATACTGTCTTGCATGACATTCTCATAAACAAATGAGGGAAATATAACCTAGATGGAGCTATTATAAGGTGGGTGCATAACTGATTGGAAAAGTGTTCCCAGAGAGTAGTAATTAGTGGCTCACAGTCAAGCTGGAAGGACATATCTAATGGGGTCCCGCAGGGATCAGTTCTGGGTCTGGTTCTATTAAATATTTTCATTGATGATTTAGATAATGGCATAGAGAGTACACTTATAAAGTTTGCAGACGATACCAAGCTGAGAGGGGTTGCAAATGCTTTGGAGGATAGGATTCAAATTCAGGATAATCCGGACAAACTGGAGAAATGGTCTGAAGTAAATAGGATGAAATTCAATAAGGACAAATGCAAAGTACTCCACTTAGGAAGGAACAATCAGTTGCACACATACAAAATGGGAAATGATTGCCTAGGAAGAAATACTGCAGAAAGGAATCTGGGGGTTGTAGTGGATCACAAGCTAAATATGAGTCAACAGTGTAACACTGTTGCAAAAAGAAAAGCAAACATCATTCTGAAATGTATTAACAGGACTGTTGTAAGCAAAACATGAGAAGTAATTCTTCTGCTCTACTCCACGCTGATTAGGCCTCAACTGGAGTATTGTGTCCAGTTCTTGGCATCACATTTCAGGAAAGATGTGGACAAATTGGAGAAAGTCCAGAGAAGAGCAACAAAAATTATTAAAGGTCTAGAAAACATGACCTATGAGGGAAGATTGAAAAACCTGGATTTGTTTAGTCTGGAGAAGAGAAGATTGAGGGGGGGATATGATAACAGTTTTCAAGTACATAAAAGGTTGTTAAAAGGAGGAGGCAGAAAAATTGTTCTCCTTAACCTCTGAGGATAGGACAAGAAGCAATAGGCTTAAATTGCAGCAAGGGAAGTTTAGGTTGGACATTAGGAAAAACTTCCTAACTGTCAGAGTGGTTGAGCACTGGAATAAATTGCCTAGGGAGGTTGTGGAATCTCCATCATTGTAGAATTTTAAGAGCAGGTTAGATAAACACCTTTCAGGGATGGTCTAGATAATACTTATTGCTGCCCTGAGTGCAGGGGACTCGACTAAATGATGTCTCAAGGTCCGTTCCAGTTCTATGATTCTGTGATCAAAGCAGTGGACTAGGAAAATGATTTTGTGGCAGCATTCATAATGGGTATTTGTGGGGGGAAGGATGCAATTCCATTTATCAAGGTCAGTGAGAATGATGATGTAGTAATTGAGACACTAGATGATGAGAGCTGGCATAAGAGTTGTAACTCGGTGGATGGAGAGGAAGGCTGTTCCTTAGCTATGTTATACGGAAAGAATCTGTGAGATTTAGACATAGGGGAATCTGAGGACCTGGAGTGAGTCCACATTGAAGAAGACACTCAGATTGCTGGCATTAGTAAAAGGCAGGATAGTGGTGGTGTACATAGTAAATGAGAGAGGAGGTAGAGAGGCAGGGAAATTAAGAGCTCTGTGTTAGCCATGTTGAGTTGGAGCTGATGGCTAGACATCCATGAGATGTCAGAGAGAAGCCAAGATTTTAATTTGGACAGAAGGAGAGAGGTCTACATTAGAGTTAGATCTGTGAGTTGTCAGCGTAGAGACTGTAGTTGTATTTGTGTTTGCGAATGAGACTACCCAAAAGTGAGTTGTAGAGGGACAAGGAGATCTCTGTGGAACCCCCACAGAAAACTTGGGGGGGAATGAGTAGGATTGTCTGAAGGACATGCTGAAGGAGAGATTAGAGAGTTAGGAGGAGACCTAGGAGAGGACAAACACAGAGAATCCAAGGAAAGACAAGATTTCAAGAAGAGCATAGTCAGTGTCAGTGCAGCTGACAATTCAAAGAGGATGTGGATGGAATATTGGTTCTGAGTTTGGCTAGGAAGAGGTCACTAGAGACCTTGGCAAGAGCAGTTTCAGTGGAGTGTCAGGGTGGAAGCAGGATCAGAGAGGGTCTAGAATGGAATTGAAGAGAGAAATGCCAGATAGCAATTGTAAACAGAACATTCAGTGACCTTACAGATGAAAGGGAGATGGGGCAGCAGTTGGAGAGACAAGTGGGGTCAGTGGTGCATTTTTTAAGATTGGAGAGACTGAAGTGTGATTTCATTGTGAGGAGAAAGAGTAAGAGGAGAAAGAGAGGTTAAGGGCAAGGGGATGACAGTGGGCATTAGGGAGATCTGGAGGTGGAATGGGGTCATTGGGGAGGGGTTACAGGAGGAGAGCAGATGAGAAACTTCTGCAACTATGAAAGGGAAGAAGGAGAGAAAAGTAGGAAAGGAGGGAAAGGCAAGCCGAGGGGAGAAGGTCACATAGTTTTATAATTTTCCTCTTCAAAGTAATCCAAGAGAGAAGTGAAGGGTTTGAGAACTAAGTCAAAGGTGGCAAAAAGGCAGTTGGGATTGCAAGTGTGGATTCATTTAAGTTGGGGAAGTAGAGTTGTTTAGTTAGGAAGATGTCAGTACTGAAAGAGGGGAAAATGGATTTTTAGTAGAGGACGTCAGTCTGGTCAAAGGAATTCCACCAGAGATGCTCTGCAGCACAAGAGCAGGAGCGGAGGAAGCAAAAGTTGGGAGTGAGTCAGGGCTGAGAGATGGTGGAGAGAACTTACAAATAGGAGAGAGGGGCAGAAGGGTGAAGGAAAGAGAAGCATGGAGAGAATCAACAACTATATCAAGTGAAGAGGGAGCTGAGCAAATGAGAAGCCATCAAGGCTGATGAACTTGAAGGCATGATGGGGGTTGCTGGCGGGCAATGCTAAAAGAGACGAGGTGTTGGCTGGAGAGGGGGAACTCAGCAACAGAGAGTACAGTGCTTGGTGAAAAACTCAAGTGAACACCTATTTTGGTGAATGGGAGAGTTGAACTAGGGCAGCAGGTCAAATGAAGACATGAAGGTGAAGAAATGTGCAGCCAAGGGGTTGGATGGGTCATTTCCACTAACAAGGAAATTAGTGACTGAGGACATGTGGGAGACTGAGAGAAGAAGAAGAGAGAGAGGCTGGAGCTGGAAGCAGAGGAGGGTTGATTGGGAGGAGTTGGATGGACAGTAGATGACAGCAACTTGGAAGAGAAGAGAAGAGTTGAATGCACTGCTGTTTAAAACAAGAAAAAGGGGAAGAGAGAGGAGTGGGAAGTGGCAGGAATGGGAGAGAAGACCAACATCCCAAGCAGAATCATATATCACAGCAGTGTTTTATTTCCAGCAAGGTTGCGAACTGTGGGGACCTTAACTAATGCTATCTTACTCACAGACAGTGTTAAGAGAAAACCAACCTTGTCACTCAGTGACTTTGCATAGCACCAAGTCAACGGCCCTGTCCTATTTTACCTGACAGTGTTTTGCTTCAGTATTTATTAAATGCAGTTGGATAATGGGGAGGGATGGCAAGTAGCCATTGTTCTAAGGTGGGAAGGGCATTTCCTTTCAGCTGTTTAACCTTCTCACATTCCCTCCTTCACTTTAAAAATGTCCTCACTGTTTCCAATTCTGTGGAGGTTTATATAAATTATGAAAAAATCTCTCTCTGAAAGTTGAGTTTTACAAGTCTGGATTCTGTTTTTGTTTTGAAAATTAATGACAGTTCTTTTATGTGTTGCAACTATGATAATACATTAGTGTCAGGATTAGATTGGAAAAAGTGTGATGTATGTTTTTGGTTTTTTAAAATGTTAATGTTGACCATAC